ACAGTATGTATGGGTATATACCTGTACATATGTTTGCATGCTTTACAGAGAAATTATAATTAATTTTATTTTTATATGGATATGTATTTTGTTGCAATGTTTTCTTGTATCCATTTATTTTCAGGTGAGCGGACAGATGTCGGGTGTGTGGCCTTGTGTTTTCTTGGTGTATATTTAATATATATGCATGCTTTACAGATAAATTATAATGAATTTTATTGTTATATGGATATGTATTTTGTTGCTATATTTTCTTTTATCCATTTATTTTCAGGTGAGCGGACAGTTGTCGGGTGTGTGGCCTTGTATTTTCTTGGTGTACATTTAATATATTTCTAATCTCTATTTCAATCTTTCTAATTGCATTTCCTCTTTTTCCCTTCTTTTCCTATTTCCTCTTCATATAAAAAATCACTGATGATGAAGAAATTAAGAAACTAATTATAAGTTCTTTTTTCAACTGAAGTGTTAAAAAAAGATGGCGGCTCCTCACTACAACACAACAGTGAGTAAAGCTCTTTTACTTTTAATAGTATTTCTGTATTATTTATTTCACATTTAGTAGTAGTACACATAGTGTTGATAAGAGGGCACGTTAAAACACTGTTTATAGGAAGAACAATGTAAAGAGCTCAGTTATTGATTGTTAGCGGGCTCTTTTCAGAGAGCCAGTTTTTGTCATCTGCAGCCTTATATTTTGGTAAATATGAATACTTTGTGAATAAAATGTTTAACATTTAATGTTTTTATGAGAAGTCTTATAATTGCCTGATTGTGTGTATTTGTTTTGTTATCAAAGCAGGAATTCTTACATTTATTTAATATTTTAATCAAACTTAATTTTTATTTAACAGATCAAATAAACTGAGCCTATAATGGGATGGACAGATGCTCCACCTGATTGTCACATCTGTTCTCTCTGTTGTCATAACTGTGTGGTCCTATCGGGGTGGGCAGTTCTGCTCCTCCAGGGCAGCTATCCTGCATACTTGTTTTTCTGCTCCAACACACCCGATTCAGTTATCGAATTACCTTTACGAGTCCTGCAGAAGTCGATTAATCACTTATTCATTCAAATCAGTTGTGTGGAGCAGAGGAGCAAGGGAAACTTGCAGGATAACAGCTCCCGAGAACTAAGTTTGCCCACCCATGTCTCATATTCTTGCATGTGATTGGTCACAGGGCCAGAGAGAGGGGAAAAAACATTGCTCACTTGACGGGAGTCGGCCCTTCTGATTCACTACAAAGCATGACACAGTGCTCAGCTGTAGGAGAGGAGGAACGTGACGGCTCCTGTTTAGTCAAAGTTAAAAGTCAAAGTTAATTACAACTGGCCCTTTGAGGGCCACTATAATGCTCATGTGGCCCTCCCTGAAAATGAGTTTGACATCCCTGACCTAGCAGTTCTTGAAGGAATGCATATCGCCCGCTACCTTTCATGCCATTTAGACTAAGATTATTTTATGTTAGCTTAGAGCTGTTTTGGCACAATCTGGCAAAATATTGCGAGGTCTTGTGTGATCTGTTGGAGATAGCAGTAAATGTTGAGACTGACTCTCAGCTATGCCCAACATTAGCTCAATATTTGTAGAATTGACTGACAGAATTGATAGAGGTTTAACTCGTTGAGGGTCATTTGTACAAAAATTAGTGAGGGGGCTATGTGAATATTTGAGTCTATGTATATTTTTGACTGAGTAGATGAAAGTTTATAATAAATAAGTTGAAACAAGTGAACCCAAATCCTCTTTAAAAATCACTGAAGTTCTATGTTGTATAATCATTCCATTCTCAAAAAATCATAACCCAGAATGAGTGGATGTAAACACCTGCCAGATGTAGATATATATATTTTTTCCATTTAACACCTTGAAACAGCTTTTCGTCACCTTCTTCTTACCTCACAATGATCACAATGACACATTTTTGCACACTCCTGCTAGCTCTAAATGTTTGATATTGTTCTACTAGTATTCTACTTTACTTTAGGTTTCCAAGATAGTACAGAATGGCAGCGAGACTTGACGTGATAGATGTGGTTTAGATTACATTAGAAGTCAATTTATACGAGTTACTAAGGCGGATTTATTTGACAAAGCCACTTATCAGTGTGTCTAACCATAATGAAAACAAAATTTCAGTCTTCAGGACGCTTTCAAATAAAATTCTTACAAAATTGAGAAACTTGACAGATTATTTTGTTCAAAGAAGAAATTTTGAACTGGGCGGCCAACATTAGAGCCTCACTGTACTGGTTGAGAGAGGACAATCCTGTTCCTACTTGGGTAAATCTAGAGAGGAAATCAGTTACGGCGAGCTCTCTCTCTGCTTTACTTTGCTCCCGGTTACTGTTTAATCAACCAATCTCAACTTATACTTCTAATCCGGTTGTAACTCACACAATAAAATCTGGAATCAGTGCAGGAGGTTGTTTAAAAGTACAGAATTATTGTCTGCTCCAGTATCAAATAACCATATGTT